ACACTGTGTGTCCTCACACATTTTGCTGAATGGGGTTCTAAAACAAGTGCCAAAGTACAGGACTATGATGCAAAGGGAAATTGAGAGAAGCACATCAGGAAGCACTATTGCCATGGTGCGGGACTGAAGGGAAAACTTTCCAGTGTGCAATTATTGGCCATTATTAATACAAGCCATTGGCCATTATTAATACAAGCATTTCCCAAAGATTTGATGACTTGGAGCAAGAAGGTGCTAATCCACAACTTTCCTGATTTGAAATATATATGATCATTACTTCATAGCTCCTCTCCTCTCTACACTGTGAGAATAAGAGATCAGGTACAGCCTCTTACACCCTGATATAACTGTGTTTATTCATAAATCCAATTTATTTCCCCATAATTTACTTTCAAGTAGATGAGCTTGGGACTTCAGCCATGATAGAGAAAACCACAACCAGTAGCAAACATACTCTATCAAATGGTCTATATTTCATGGAATGTGTTGTTTAATGTTTGACTGAATGCATTACATTAAAGATCATTTGTAGATTTCTCATGAACTGGAAGAGACAAACAAGCACTGAGTAAGTATACAGTTTGCCATGTAAAGTGGGGTATGTTGTAACCTCTGCTCTACTCAGCAGTCCTGGCAGATTTGTTAATTATCATGATGGCTAGAAAGCTGATTGCTTTGAATGCCAGCTTTTATTTTCAGCACAATCTGCTACACAAATGTCTAATGGAAAATGTCCTTGGAATTCCTCACTGTTTTCCTGGCACGTGAACCATAACATCAAGCTCAAAGTTTGATCTGTCTGTAGAAAAACAAACAACTGCCCCATAGGAGTATAACATGTGAGTTGCCTGGCTGTGGGCAAACATAATTGTGCTACCAAAGCACTTGTGAAACTAGTTTTGCTTTCTTAATTGTTGAATTCACTCAATAATTGTTAACCTTTGTCCATTCCCTCTTACATTTCCCTTGCACTGACAAGGAGGCCTTTCAGCCTCTATGAACAAATCTGTTACCGCTTTCAGAAAAGCTGTTGTTTTTTCCTGTTGCACACAGCTGTACATTCTGTTTTCTGATTCAGCGTTTCCTTTTGAGGCTTTAGCAGCACATTTTGCTGTGTCAACGACGTTCCCTTATAAGGAAGGCATTGCTTTTGCTGAGTAATACTTGCATTCCTCTAACCTCTGGCATTGTTCCCTGAAGCTGGAAAAGATACAGCCTGTCTCAGAGGTAACTTAAGGCTGACTTTCAGATTTACTGTCATGTGCTATAACTGGTAATGCCATTGCATGTAAGTCCCAGTGTACAGTTTAGGAACATCTAACCTTGTAACAATGGTGAAGCTAAGGAAATAGGGACCAGGGCAGTCTTTAAATGAAAACCCAATGTAAGCAATCTTAAGCTTTCTAAAGGAAAAACAGAATATAATGATAATTTAGGAAAAGATTATTGTGCAGAAATACTTCAGCGCTGTTGTTGAACCAACCACTGTGGCCATTTTTTTCAGAGGTCTGTCAGATTTATAATAATAGAATTGTAGAGTTGGAAGGGACCACAAGAGGCATCTAGTCCAACCCCTGCAATGCAGGAATCTTTTGCCCAACATGGAGCTCGAATCCATGACTCTCATGCTCTACCAACTGGATTTATTTATTATTATTTTTATGGTAAGGTGCTGTGCCTTCAACAACTAGATGAGGGGAGAAAGTTCAGCAAAGCAATGGGTACTGTTGAGCATCATGGGGTTTTGTTTTTGTTTTTGTTTTGTTATACTGGGAGTCACCAAAGGCATACATGCTGTTCATTAAGCTTACTATCTCATCACTGCTTTGCGTTGTGGTGTATATCTTTCTGTCACACAAAAACCGCTGGTTGGTGCAAGTGGAAAGAGGCATATTTCCTCAACTCCTGGTGATCCTAAAGTCTGCGCAGTAGGCTTGTTTCTACACAGACTCACATACTCCTCTCTAAGCTTCCATCCAGGCAAGCAAGAGGAATTATTGAAGTTCTGTTATGTACTGAGTTGAATAGGATCCAAAATGCAGCAGGCTGATTGGTCCTAGAACAATAGGATTCAGAATGCTGATTGGCCTATAGGAGAATCCCGGAATTAGCCAATCATGTGAGGCCCATGGTGTAAATAATGTATTTAAAGCAGACATTCTGGGGGAACTTCCATTCCTCCTCACCACTATGAGCGGAATAAAGAGCATGAAATCCACTCTCAACTCCGAGTATATTTCAAGTTCAGAGACACATTCTAGCTAGGCAAGAACACGCAAAGGGGCTGGAAAGAAGGGCCAGTGAGCGGAATCCTGAGGGCCAGCAGAGAAGCATGGGCATAGCCAGGATTGGGGGGTGGGACAGGACTTTGTTAGGGGGCAGAACCGTTGTGATTGGTCAGTTAGTTAAGTATTTCTATTGTTTTATTTGATCTAGGGGGGCAGCTGCCCCCTGCCCACCCTTGGTTACACCCATACAAAAAAGCTTCAAGGGCTTCATTTGCCCCCCATCCCCCAGACCTGAGGTTCCCAGCCTCTGTTCTATCAGCTGCCTACACCACAATGGAATTATTCTTAAATCCTGATAAATGTGGGGTCTTTGTGACAGCACAGGTTTTAGACCCTATTCCCCCCATACTGCTCTTTCTCTTTCCCTACATATTGAAGTGGGGAAACTGCTGTCACATTGAACACCTTGGACAGCCGCGATGAATAGATGAGTGATGCCAGTGAAACACCTGTGAAAATGTGATGGTGCTCTGTGAGGTAAATCCGATGCCTGAAAGCGAATGATATGTGAGTCAAGTGAACTGCGAGGAAGGCTGTCATTTGTAGGCTCCGATCCCTGCTCCTGCTCCTAAACTGGAATCTCTCCAGAACTTTGTGGTAATTGTCCTTCACGGTCATTCTCACATGGAACTATTTGACAGTCAACAACATATATATCAGCTCATAGAATTCATCAGTCTCTTGTGACATCCCGTGCTGTTATATAATTATTTTACTTTATACGCAAAACGAGCACAGTGACGGAACTGCTTGCCACATTTTGGCGCCTCAGGCAAAGGACAAGATGGCGCCTCCTTTCGTTCCATATACAATTTTTTGGTCAGAATGGCATTGGAATCTGACATTGACACAGGGAATGAATGGGACAGCATCTGACAGCACTGCACCGGGCTAGCTAGTCATGCAACAGACCTGAGCGCATTCATAATGGTGTTCTGGAATGCTCTGCTTGTGTCCAGCGAAGAAAAGTGAAGCAGTGAAGAAGCTTGACTGAGTCAGCTGCAGTGTCAACACGTTTGCCTTTTCCGAACTTCCAGCCACTTGGCTCAAAATGCCTTCCTCTTAAGCCAAAACAAATGAAAATGCACATCCTCAGCTAGCCATTTTCTACATGTCAATATTGGATAGGCCCTGCAACTACATTGGACCAATCAGTTAATGAACCACCTTATTTTACGATGTCACTTAGCGTTCCATGGTTCCCATCATTAATTTTTGCAAAGAGTTGCCACCTTTCTTATCTGGCCCTGCTCCTGTACTTTTTTGCAGCAGCTTGATCTGCAGATAGCATGTAGTGCTACTTCATGCCATGAAAAGCATCTCCTACTTATTTTCAAGAGCACAAAACCCTTAGTCTTAGTGGAACAGACCAAAGGTCTTCTGCCTATCCCAGAGATGGGGAACCTGTGACCCTTCAGATGTTGTTATCAATTCCCAACTCCCAACAATCTCAGTCAGCATGGTGATGGGAGCTGGAGTCTAACAGCATCCAGAGAGCCACACAAGTTCCCCAGCTCTGAGTTATCCAAATACTTCAGGAAAGCCTACAAGCAGGACATGAAGACAATGACCCATTGTTTGTCCCCAACGTCTGATACACAGAGGTTGTACTTCTTCTAAACACCATGGCTAATGTCTTATATTTCTATAGATAAAATTGTAGCGAAAGGAACAAGATTGAGTCAGGCTCATTTCCTTCCTGCCCCGGCCAGTTGACAATACTACTCATTGCCTTTTCTGATTCAATTATACTTTATTTTCTGAAAATGGCCCATCAGCAGTAGTGCAGATTTTAGACTCTGGGGTTACTGGTCTTAGAAAGCAGGCCTCTATTTTACCAAACATTTTAGGTTGTTAGTATTTTGTTTAAAAATGAATTTATTTATTTTTTTGAAACCCTTCGGTTTCTCTATTTGCAAAGCTGAGATACAAGTACAGTGGTACCTCGGGTTAAGTACTTAATTCGTTCTGGAGGTCTGTTCTTAACCTGAAACTGTTCTTAACCTGAAGCACCACTTTAGCTAATGGGGTCTCCTGCTGCTGCTGCGCCGCTGGAGCCCAATTTCTGTTCTTATCCTGAAGCAAAGTTCTTAACCTGAAGCACTATTTCTGGGTTAGCGGAGTCTGTAACCTGAAGTGTATGTAACCTGAAGTGTATGTAACCCGAGGTACCACTGTATCTCCCCATCCATCTTCCTGGCGGGGTTGGTGTGATAGGAATCATTCCCACTGAACACATGGTCACTCTTGTTCCAAAGTAAACATCAGGGTTTAATCAGGGAAAACTGAGGATCTCATTGCGCGCTGGAACAGAGAACATGGCATTTTCTGATGCTCCAGGGTTTGGGGGGGGGGCGGGACGGACATTCCCAGCTGTAACCGGAGATGGACTGAACCTGAGGCTCCAAGGCAGATTCTCTGCTACTGAGCTATAGTTCTGAAGGGTGGGAAACACAATTAATAAAGGAATAATCATATTTATTTAAAAAAAAATACTTAATGCACCGAAAAGCTGTTTCTCCCTAGTGTTTGCATAAAAGCAGTGGCAGATATTCATGAGCCCTTGTACTAGTATTCCATACTTGAGAATATTCCAGGTTAACCTGACTTAGAGGGAAGACAAGGAGTTAAAACCAGCCTGGGCAAAATGCCCAGGATTCTTGAGAGAGATGTCTCTCACTTGACATCCTGTTGTTGTGCTTAGTTGTCAAGCTGCGTCAGCTGACTCTCCCTCCTCCCTCCTTTTCCCAGAGGAGGAAGAAGAGGGCCGGGTTCAGCTTCCTCATCGAGGGGAGTATGTGCGCGTGCATGTGCGTGGTGAAAGAGAACTGTACAGTGAGGTCAGATGTTCCCCGGGTTCAGCACGTGACCTCGGAGCAAAAGTATAAAGAAAGATGAGGGGAGACCAGATGCCTAACTCAGTAGCTTCTCAAACTCTGGAGAGAAAGGAAGCAAGGAGCCGAGAGTGAAGAGGAAGAGAAGAAAGAGAGCGGCCGCAGAATAACAAAGCGAGGAGAATGGCACAGCGCGCTGCAAGGTGAGTGGCAATCCTGGGCTGGAGACAATCCTTCGAAGGAATTTACACAGACTCTCTCATGTGTCACGATTAGCAGGGAGGGAGGCAGGCTCTTGGTAGGTCCAGCATCCTCGGAAGTGCGGTGTGTGTGTTGCCCAGGAGAGGGCATTCTCTGTGGCAGCACCCAGCACTGTTGGACACCCTTCTCACCCAGATGTGTGCCGTCTGGCACCTTCATTGGTATGGCTTCCATCACATGCTGAAGATGCTCCTCTTTACCTTGGCCTCTGGTTGCATATACACTGTACATCTTACGCACATTATTTCTCCTGCAAAATCACGGGAATCTGTACAGAACTACAGTTCCCAAGCAACAAACTATAGATCCCAAGATTCTCTGTGGAGCAGTGTGTTTGAAATGTACATCATTTTGTGGGACCTATCTCTGTTGTCAGATATTTTGATTTTGCTGTGGAATGGCTTCATTTTATTTTTCAAACTGGGACTGTGTGGTGAAGGGCAGAAGAAATCTCACGAATAGAGTACTTTTGCATTTGTACTTTTAGTGTTATATGGCATCACTGTTTCTCTCGACGCCTGCATGCATATAACACCTGATGACTGAGGCTAACATTTAATGCATATGAAGAATTAGACTACTCATGAAAGCTTATTATATCAATATACATTTCTTCTTTGTTAAAGACTTTGTTGTTCAGAGGCATGCCACTTTTTGGGGGGGGGGGGGTATCTGAATTGCATATTTCTAGTTGCATAGACACCAAACATTCAAAGCACATTCAGAATATCTCCCCTCCCAAGAATCCTGGGAACCGCAGCTTGTTAAAGATGTTGGGAAGTGTAATTCTGTGGTGGGTAAACTACAGTTCCCAGGATTCTTGGATGGGGGAAATATGCTTTAATTATATGGTGCGTATGCAGCTCCTTGCTGAAGAACAAAGGGGTCCATTTTCTTGTCAGGATGTTAATTTATCCTGCTTTGCCACAGACTGCCAGTTTACTTCTGTGCAAAAGTGCTGGTATGTAAGATGCTTAAGATAACACTGGATTTCCCCCCCTCCCCCGCCAGAATGTCTCAGGACCTGTCAGAAGCCCTGAAAGAAAGCACCAAAGAGGTGCATGAGCAGGCAGAGACCACAGATTTCATGATGCGGTTCCAGAAGGGGCAGATGTCACTTCATGAATTCAAGGTACTGTGCCTGAGTTTTTATTCCAGAGCGGGGGGCGGGGAAGACTTTAAACACCTCGAAGAGTCTTGTTTTACAATCAAGCGGTATATACGTTTTATGAAATCGGTCAATAGGTGACTTTGTTGAACTACAACTCCCATCATCCCTAGCTAGCAAGGCTAGAGCTCAGGGATGATGGGAGTTGTAGTCCAACAACATCTGGGGACCCAGGGTTGAGAAACACTGGTCTAGAGAAAGCAATGGAAGGAAGAGGAGGAGGAGGAGGAGAAAGAGGAACAGAAACCACCAGCAAATGATCCCTTCAGACCTCTGCCATGGCAAGAGCAATCTGAATTTCCCTTGGCAGTCCACTGGGGCAGGGGAAGGAAGTGGGGGGAAAGAGGGGGGAGGGAGAAGAGGAGGGGCAGAAAGAGAGCAGAAGAGGGGGGTACACTGAGAGAGAAAAGGGGTGACAAAAAGAGAGAAGATGGGCTGTCCATCCACCCCACTTTTTGCTCTAGTCCCCACTCACTACGGCTTTCCCCACTGCAACAGTGTGAGCCCTGACAGATCACTCCCAAGGGATTGTAGCTCTTGACAGAAAAAATTCCTAGCCCTTCTCTGACCTCACAGAAACTGCACTTTTTTCATTTCCTGGGCGTGTATTGCTGAACTGCTGTATTTTCATTCTGTTTCACGCAGCAAGCAAGGGCATAAATTTCTGGGTTCATTTCAGAACTTGAGCAAAATCTGCCTTCCAAGTGTGCCTGTCTGAGCTACTGGAACTAGCTAATTAAACAAATGCTAATGAGCTGAACCTTCTAGTATAACCAGTTAGAGGTAATTACTAGGCGTAAGTCCTGAATGAGGTGGCACAAAGCACAAACACAGATTGAGCAAAGCCAAGGGCGGGGGGGAGGTAGTAGCAGCCATGGTGAAATTCTGGAGAGGTGACTTGTACATTACCCAGCAAAAACACAGTTGTAATTGCCATGAGATTACCGTTCTTTGTCGATTGGCTGGTTTCTCTTACAACAGACCAATGTAGTAGGCAGGGAGAGCATAAAGATGGCAGGTCATAAAGAGTTGGTTCAACAATCCATTGCTTTCTGAAATTTTATACACACACACACACACACACACGTATTGAAGCAGAAGATACTGATCTCAGCCATGAAAACCAAACCAATTTTGGTGCTTAGGAACATAGGGATGTGCCTTATACTGGGTCAGACCAAGCGCAGAACTGTCTACATTGACAGGCAGCCATTCTCTATGGTTTCAGACAGGAAGTCTCTCTCAGCTCTATTTGCAGATGGCAGGGATTGAATCTGGGACTTCCTGTCCACAAGGCAATTCCTCTAAGCCGAAGCTATGGCCCTCCTTCAAGTTCCGAAAGATTATCAGTCACATAAATCCATGTCAAGGGAAGGCGATCACACAAATGTGGAGAGAGAGAGAGAGAGAGAGAGAGAGAGGCCATTTGACATGTGTTTGGTGTCAAATTTTTGTTCTTGGTCACTTTGTGGAAGCTCACAATGGGCCTCTTAGAAGGCGACCGCTTCTCAGGTGTGTGGAAATCCAGGTCTTCAAGGGCTTTATATAGGTCAAAACGCACACCCAGTCGCCATCCGGGATGTGCAATAATAGCCTGCACTGCTGGTTGACTAAAGGGAAGTTTTGTGTGAAGGAATTTAGGGTGTGTTCATAAGGCAGTTGTGAACAGGCTCAGATGCACCATCTCTATTTGACCTTTGAATCATAGAATTGTAGAGTTGAAAGGGACCGTGAGAGTTATCTAGTCCAACCCCCTGCAGTGCCCAATGTGGGGCTCGAACCTACGACCTGGTGATTAAGAGTTTCATGCTCTACTGACTGAGCTATCCCAGCTCATACTGGTGGCTGCATCCCACTGCGCTGCTCTTTTGCCCAACTGTGCCATAATCATCACATAGAGTACAGGGATCCAGAATGGGATGTACAGTCCAGACAGCTAAACTAGTGCTAGAATCTCTCTCACCCAGTGCATGTCCTTTGCATTCTCCTTGCCTGCACAGATGCTGAATTGAGGTCAGAAGAAGCTGTAGAAGGGATGTGTTGTTAGCCACAGTTACTATTGAGATGAATGGGAATCATGCAGCTATGAAACATAACTTCCATGTGAGAGCCCTTTTGAGTGTGGCTCTCAAAATACTTGCCTCAAATGGTTGGGCAATGTGTTGCTGCACTGCCTTGCTTACTGTGTTTAGCTAGGGTCACTTCCAGGCAACCTGGGAAGGTTGCATTCATCTTGAATTGTTTGCACAAAGTTTGTGGGGTGGTTATATATTGGCTACAGTGAACATCTGTTTGTGGAGTCGTTAGATGACCTTGCATCATGCAAATATTACTCCAGAATTTCCTGTTCATTTCTTCCCACCACTTACCTTATGGCAAAATTATCTGATTTGGAGGATGGAAGAGAGAGAATGGGCTTTGCTCCATATTGACTGTCATGGTGCAATCTGAATTTACTGGAATGTGTTTGAACCCACAACATATCAACAGTCTGGAAGCACCTCAAATCTTTCATGGAACTTGGTTAATGTTTAAAATGTATTTAGTTGTGTGTGCGTTTTGTATTTGCAACAGGGACAAAAAGTACTTTACCAGAGAGTTTGTAAAGCAGCAACGTAGAAATAAGTCCAATTGCTTCTATAAAAGGAAGGTGCTGGTGGATTTGACAGATTTGCTGTGTTGTATCCAGTGGTGGCTTTTTGCTGATGGAAAATTCACCTGCACAAGGTGGGGCCCTCAAAAGAAGAGCCCAAATAGATCTGACCAATCTATTTCTCAACTAGTCCAGCTTCCTGTTCTCACAGTGATCAACTGGATGCCTATGAGACGCCTACAGTAAGATTACCAGACGTTCCTGTTTCCCAGGGACAGTCCCTGGATTTACAAATCAGTCCCCATTCAAAATGAAAAGTGTCCCTGGATTCATTGAAAAAAAATCTGGTAACCTTAGCCTACAGGCAGGATCCAAGTGCAGCAACAACTTAGTTTTTATCATTCCCCCCTACCCACTGCGACCCAAAGTTAAGAGAGATCAGTGGAAACTGGGTGCCCCATCTTGTGCAAATGGAAATATTTTCTGCTAGGGCAAAGCCAGCATTGGATGGTATGGCCAGCCCTGCACTCCATGTTTAAGCACATGGAACTACTGCCATCCCATCTAATTCAAGTCTGAGGTGCCAGGGATTGAACACAATAGGTTCTCTACATAGAAGTGTATACTTGATTCTGACCAAACTAAGCCTCCTGGAGCACAATATACATCAGAGCACAATATACATCAGGAGGCTTAATTTGGTCAGAATCTAGTATATGCTTCCAGAGTTAATGCTAAATACATGACTTCTGGTAAATGAGCCACCATAGCCATTAGAGGGCCGTGAAAATTTGTGTCCTGGGCTTTTTAGACTCTTCTACCCATGTACTATCTGAAACCAAAGGGGCACATTGGTTGCCAGATGCAAAATATATTGGCATTGTTTTCAGCTCTCCTACCCCACTCTATGGCCAAGGAAGACTTTGCAGCTAAGCTTCTCCCCTCCTCTCCTTCCTTTGTTTCAGCTGTACCTGGCTTCTCTGTACTACGTCTATGTTGCCCTGGAGAAAGAGTCTGAGCGGAATAAGGACAACCCAGTCTATGCCCCTGTTTATTTCCCAAATGAGCTCAATCGCAGGGCAGCTTTGGAGGAAGACTTGGAGTATTTCTATGGCCCCACGTGGAGGAAGGAGATCCAGTGTCACGAGGCAACTCAGAAATACGTGGACAGGCTACACCACGTGGGCCAGTACGAACCTGAGCTTTTGGTGGCCCATGCTTACACGCGATACTTGGGAGATTTGTCCGGGGGTCAGATTCTGAAGAAGATCGCCCAGAAAATGTTCCATCTGCCCAGCACTGGAGAAGGGCTGTCGTTCTTCAACTTCCCTGGAGTCACCAACATCAGCAAGTTCAAGCAGCTGTATCGAGCACGGATGAACAGTCTCCCCATGGACTCAGCTACTGAGGAGAGAATACTTGAGGAGGCCAAGAGATCTTTCCTGCTGAATATAGAAGTGAGTAATCAGCAAGCTACACAGTCTTGCCATGAGGCCTATAACTCTTTTGAAAGTCACAATAACATTTCTGTTGACACTCTTAGGAGATGGTGAACATTTCTAAGAGCTGACCAAGCTTCTTCTGATTAGAGATTTATTTTTGTAAGGTGAATCAGGGTCATTGAAATAAGGCATTTTTTTTAAAGTAGGATCAATTACAAAGCAATAAACTAACATTTGACTTATGTACAGCTTTTCCTTAGCCTCAGTGTTGAACAAAAAGAGAAAAAATAGGAGATGATTATGATACTGGTAATGCGGTATGGTAGAAGCTAGTCTGAGAACAAAAAAATGCAGGCAGCTGTGTTGGTCTGTTAGAAAAAATCCAAACAGAAACAGTGTCATAAATACCTAATACTTGTTCCAGTCTTAAAATGTTAATTCGGAACATTCTTTGCAGGCTACATCAACTTCCCTGGGAGTTAGCCCCATTAAAATCAGTGTCACTTACATCTAAATAGACATTTATAGGATTGAACTGTAAGACTGAAATCCTAACTCCACATACTTGGAAGTAAGCCCCACTAAATTAAGGATAATTAAGTAGACATGGTTGCTGTAAGTTACTTTTACATCCATAGGATCACAGGTTATACTAAGGTTTGTTGGGACAAAAAGTGGTGGGCACAGTACTTTTGAAAATTCTAAAAGGCAGCAGCTATTTAAGTCTGTCCTGATTGGTCTTTAAGATTGCTGGCAGGCTGTGATTTATCTTGAGTCCGGCTCTTCCAACCTCCAAATTAATTTTAAACAACAACAGGATCAACATTTGTCAGCGAGCATTTAAGAACTAAGTACATACGCAGTTGGTGGATGGCCTGGTTTATTATTTCTTTCCCTCTCCAGAAGGAACTAAGAAGTTCCAGTCCCATTAAGATCGAAACTTTCTTCAGTCTGCAGGGTTTAAAGTAGAGCTAGTTCACTTTTTGTTAGGCTGCACGCACACCAACCACTTAAAGAACAACCTTCACAGAGGATCTTAGGAACTGCGGTTTACCCTTCACAATGCTACAATTCTTAACTACACCCTTAACAAACTACAGTTCCCAGGATCCTAGAGGGGAAATGTGTGGTGTGTACACAGCCCAGCTTCCTGATGCAACTGGTGCTGTCCCTACATCTTTCTTCATTTGCAACTTACTCACATAGGGATACGAACACACGTGTATGCAAGGACCAGCATTCATACCTTATGCACTGGAAGATTTGATTGGTGCTTCTCAGCAGGTTTATAATGAAAGGTAGATGTTCACATGCTCCAATATAAAGATGAAAGCAAGTGAGGAAGATTGGAGGACCTTCAGACTTTATTAAGATAGGTTGTGGTGGTGGTGGTTTGCAAAATCCTAAAAAGGGATAGAGTGCTTTTCAGTAACAAAACGGTGATCTATCTCAGGTGTTCAAGGAGTTGCAGAGACTGACAAGCCAAGGGCAAACCACAGAAAACCTCCGCCTTGAGGAACCAAAACTAGACCTCCACACAAGAGGAATCAACAGAACTCACAGTAAGATAACTTCTTAATTTGAGCCATTCCTCATCTTCAGCCGCACCGATTGCAGCAATCATCCTAGGAAGCTGCCTTATCAGAACACTGATCCATTTAGCTTAGTTCTTCCCATTATACTGTCTGGCAGCAGCCCTCCAGGATATCAGGTGAGCTACAGCACTTTCCCGAGACAGATATTTGTGCTGGCATGGGCCTCGCCATCAGGGGTAGCCATTTGTGATGCCCATGACAGGCAGTAGTAACCTGGTTTCTGACCCTGCCTACTATGCTCCCAAGGCAAGCTCCCTTCCTTTTAGCTCCGTTTCCCCTTGGATCTTCTAAATACAGTGGTACCTCAGGTTACAGATGCTTCAGGTTACAGACTCCGCTAACCCAGAAATAGTACCTCAGGTTACGAACTTTGCTTCAGGATGAGAACAGAAATTGTGTGGCGGCAGCGTGGCGGCAGCAGGAGTGGTACCTAAAGTGGTACCTCAGGTTAAGAACAGTTTCAGGTTAAGAACGGAGCTCCAGAATGAATTAAGTTCTTAACCCGAGGTACCACTGTAATGGAAAGAGGAATGATTCCTATCATAGCCACTTTCCATTAGAAAATGTGTGTGGACCCTGCAGTTATCATTAATAAATTCTTATGAGGTGCTTCAGTGTTGTATATATATCGAAAGATAAGAAAGGCTCACAGCCTCAGAATCTAATATACATGATATAAAAGGAAAAAGGAATGGGGTAGGAAGAGGAAAACAAGCACTGAAGCAACTGTGGCTCCATAGGCTACCGAATGGGGTCAGATGGATGTCCCCTTTGCCATGATGCAGGGGGTGCAGCCTCCTAAGGGCCCCAGGACACCTGGTTAGTTGAAGAGGCCAAAGTGTTATTTTAAAAGTCTCTCCTTCTCTCACAATCCCTCCTTCCGCCCAGCTCCCTAGGATTTCTGTGCTGCAGAATGTACAGCAGTTCTTTAAATGAAATAAGATTCCATCTTGCTGAATGAGATTTATGCCTGTAGAAGCACATGTAGGGCTATAAGCCTTATAGTTCTGAAATGAAAAGTCGCTATTCTGGCTCTCCCTTTTATGGAAACTTTTGCTTTCTGTGACCACCCGCTTGCAAGGCTGTGTCCACCCAGCTGGCTCAACTGCACCAGCGCTCTGTAATATTATCTTCCTGTATCATTAATCTCTGGTGGCTGCTCTGCTCAATGTACCTGCCTCGCACCCAGTGATGTCATCAGCGTGGCTGGAGCATTGCTGAATGTTCTAGAAACAAAGCACCCAACCTGACCAATTTCCATTCTCTTAATATAGGTCCAAAGGAAAGTGACCGTGTGCAAATGAGGCATCAGCAGATGCTACCCAGCACGCCGCTCCTGCGTTGGGCTCTCGCCATCTTCTTCTTGGCAACAACAGTCGGTGTGGGCTTGTATGCCATGTGAGCAGAAGGAACCTCAGCCATGTCTTTCACCAGCACCTGCCTCATCCTGAACTAACAAACCTTTCCCTTGTGGAAGAAAGCCTCCTTAGATGGCCTAGTTTGGCCGATCTGAGCTCAGCTGTTCTCACATCACTAACTTGACAAATGACATGAAAAGACTCTTAAGACTTTAGAAAGTCAAATCAAATGCTGGTGCGGCAAACATTTCTAAAGATATTGAAATGCGAGAGGGAGCCATAAAGACTGATAACTTGCCAGCCGGGACAACTGAGGAATAAATGTTGCTCCTGGTACTTTGCCTAGTGTTATGTCATAGTACTGTCTACTGCAGACTTCAGCAACCTGATGCCCCTTCCGTGATATTTTGGACTACAAGTCCCATCAGCCCTAGCTGCCACATGCTGGCTGAGGATGATGGGAGTTGCAGTCCAAAATATCTGATGGGCACGAAGCTGGTCCAATGTTGTGTTGCTTGCTTCTCCTTATCCTGAGACAAAAATGCATTGCTCAAACTATGATTTTATGTAATAATGTTTCTGTTTTATGTAATGATGTTTGTTTTTGAAATGCATTTGTACCTCGGTCCTGTATTTTTTTGGGGGGGGGGAATATATTCTCTTGCATCTGTAACTTGCCTTTTATAAATTATGTGCTCAATCATTAAACCTCCCTGTGAGTAGAACGAACTGTAACCTTCTGATTTTAATGTTTTATCAAATGTGAGTAGAGCGTTTTTCTTTTCCTGTGTACTATATTAACTGATGCTGAAAGGATATTGGGCTGATCAGCACTCAGCCTTAAAACTAACTTACCTTTGTGTCTAAAGGCAAAACTGTTGAATTTTTGTTTTTGTTTATTTTATTTTATTTCTATACTGCCCTTCACCCAAGGATCACAGGACAGTTTACAATATAAAAACACAAAAATATTTAACATAGTAACAAACAAAATAATAACCCACAATTTCTTATTTGGAAAAAAACGCAGGCACAGTGTGCTCAGCACTGGTCAAGTTTGCACATGACACGAAGTCATGGTTGATTAAATCATGGCTTAGCATTAAGTGCCAAGTGGCTTCACTTGTTTGTTTACTGCCAGCAAACCATGATCTGAATCCATGGTTTGCTGTTAATTTATGAACCTTGGTTGGTTTTAATGATAGTTTGGTATTACATGCATGTTTGTTGGCTATTTGCAGTATAGTAACGCTGCAGAGAGCTTGCTGGGGAGACCATGCATTAAAAAGGGACTCAAAAATAACTTAAACAAGGTTTTAATTACAAAAACTCCTTATACACTAAATACATCAACAACAAACCAGACCCAACCCCCAACCCAACCCCCAGGGTAATGGAAGAGCTAGGTGCTGCTCCTTATATACTACACCCAATTGCTGACACAGCTTAATCAATACAACTCAGCAGCACCTGCTATGTTTCACAGCTGTAAAGCTGGGTCTCGTTATTTTGCTCTGGCCCTTGCTCTGGCCCCTTAAAGACATACACATCGGGTGGAACAGTGATGAACCTTTACATTTAAAGAAACCATTCAACAGGTTTTAATGATAGTTTGGTATTACATGCAAACCCATCACCCTTAATTAACCATAGTTTGTTTAGCCACCCACACCATAGGCACTCATCAAACTACAAAGTCACAAGGCAAGAGCAGCTAGAAACATAACATAATTAAATTTTGGAGAAACAAGCTTGCTTTATAGTCTGTGGGACAATTTGTGGTTAACTTGTAGTCTGTTAAGTCCATCGGTATTATTTGCAAATTAGTTCTTTGTAAAATCCCTGGAAAGCTAGGATTGACACCCAGTGTTTAGGAACAGGGTGATGTGTTGCTTCACAAGCACCTGTAATCAATAAATTTGTTTAGTAACCATAAATGTAATGTTAATGGCTACTGTGTATACTAGTTCATGTCTGTAAAAGAGGATAAGTAATTTGCAATACAGTCAAAACCTCGGCTCCCGAATGCCTCCGTTTTGGAATGTTTCGGCTCCCGAACACCGAAAACCTGGAAGTAAATGCTCCGGTTTTTGAATGTTTTTCGGAAGCCAAACGTGCAATGCAGCTTCTGCTTGAGTGCAGGAAACTCCTGCAACCAATCAGAAGCTGCGCCTCAGTTGTCGAACATTTCAGAAGTCGAATGGGCTTCCGGAACAGATTACGTTCGACAACCGATGTTTGACTGTATTGGCAACGGTTACTTTACCATAGTTTGGCCAAGGAAAATGTTTTGTTCTAAAATAAAGGAAAGCTGAAGTTAATAAATTTCTAGGTTACCAAAGAAGAATGACAAAACACATAGCCAAGTGATGGTGTCTGATGTACAAACACTGCAGAGCTCAAACAACAGAAATTAGTTTACAAGTATTTGTACAACCAACAAATAATAATCCAGAAATCTTTCATACTGAACTATAGCTGCAATCCTAACATTATTAAATGATCATTCACATGACCATACCAATTGACTCTAAGTTTAATCACACAAATTAGTATACTCTGCTATGTGTATGACAGACACCAAATAATAGTGCTTAACATCCATCACACAAATGGGAGAAAAACGGCTTCAATTCTTAACCCACTCTGCTACAGTTGCTGAAAGGTGTTGATCTGTCCCAAGTGGTCTTGACTCAACTACGCATCTTGAATTAACTCCTGAAGATATTGGGATTTCAACTTTAGATGCCAATTTTATTTCCCCTGCCCAAAACCTAATTGAAGATTGCATTGATAATAGCATGCCTATTATATGAAACTCAGTGGCAGAAAAAGCCCAGGGAGTCATACCCTTGAGATTCTGTATTTACATGGATTTATCCAATTAAAAAAATAGTGGTTTCAGAATGGAGAACAGTAACTTTTGTTATTTTCCTATAAGGAGATCATATGAGGAGACAACAATGCCTCAATTTGATTCTTTCCATTAACTCTTTTGTACTAAGTAACTGTACAGACTCGAGGAGGGCTAAGTGACCACACCACAGTTAACACGCTGGGGAAGAGGAGAATAGCATTTCGCCAGTGGCATGGTGTCCTGAATGCTGGTAAAAAGCAATTTCACTGCAAAGGGGAGAACAGGCCATCAGGAAGCCCTGTAACTTCAGCAATCATTGTAAATTCACCCTGCACAGATAATTTCTTTACAAATGTTTTTGCACCTCTTAAGTCTAGTCCTTGCAGTACGTTTCCAGAGAACTCAAATTTGTAAGCACACTTCTTTAAAGCCAGCTCCACCTTCAGACGAGGCCTGAGCATTACATGTACGGAAGAATGAGGACTGTACAATATCAAACACCATTTGCACAGTAGCATTTGGATGTTAAAAACACATCACATATTTTGTTTCAGTTTTGACACAGTCCTGCCTGGTACACCAGGATTATTTACTAGGTAGCCTTTTATTAGGCATTGTTATTTATTAAGCAGGATCCAGTATGGTTTCAAATTGGATGGGGGGTGGAGGGTCGCGTGTTGAATTTCCTGCATTGCAGGGGTTTGGACTAGATGACCCCCGGGGTGCCTATAAATTATTATTAGCAGATGTCAAGGCAATAAACAACTATTTTACTTTTAAAAGACAACTGAAGGCGGCCCTGGTTAGGGAAGTTTTTAATGTCTGGTGTTGTATTGTTTTTAATATTCAGTTGGAAGCTGCCCAGAGTGGCTGGGGTATAAATAATAAATTATTATTATAAATTATTATTCCAACGATGATTCCATGAGTTCCATGGCTGACTGGGGGTTTGAACACTCTTGACCTCTATCATGTAGCTTCACGGGCACAGAGGCAGTAGCCCCCCCCCCCCCAATCTCCGCTCACTCAGCTTTGGTGGTCTGCAAGGGGGCAGGCTGCTCAAAGTATGGGGCGCATGAGGAAGGTGGCAGATTTAGCAGGTGCATCCCCGCACAATGCAATTTCCTCTATGGAGGGGTTAAGTGACCCCTTTAGACTTCTGATTTCCCATACAGTTTTTTATAATCAAAAGAAGCCGCTGTGTCAATGTTGTGGGTGAGTGTGGGGTGCCTGGGGACCTTCTATGTATATGAAGGGGTCGTGGTGGTGGGAACCAGGGCCGGATTTAGGTTTGATGAGGCCCCAAGCTACTGAAGGTAATGGGGACCTTTATATGTCCAGCTGTCCTTTTGTCAGTAACAAATTGTTGCTGTTTTTCGTGTTAAAATATTCTTTACGCATCATCATCATCATTTATTATTTATTCCCTGCCCATCTGGCTGGGTTTCCCCAGCCACTCTGGGCGGCTTCCATCAAAATACAATAGTCTATTAAGTATTAAAAGCATCCCTAAACAGGGCTGCCTTCATATGGTAATTTATGGACCTAATAGGTATCTAAAGCCATTTGCACATGCTGCCATGCAACCAGTCCATGCAGAATGTAGGCACCCTATCTATAGAAATGAGCAAACCATTGATATTTTAGGGAGCAGGCTAGCAGGCGGGCCCCATTACTTACATCATAGGAGCCTACACAACACCAAACACTGTTGCTGTATGTAGGTTTTGTTTTTGTTTTTTAAAAAATTAATTTTATATTTTGGAAATCTACATAGGTTTTTTTCTTTATTTTTTTTGGGGCCCCCAAGAGAGTGAGGCCCCAAGCTATAGTTTGTTTAGCTTATACATAAATCCGGCACTGGGTGCATCTCCGCACAATGCAATTTCCTCTATGGAGGACTTCTGATTTCCCAGAGTTTTTTACAATCAAAAGAAGCCGCTGTGTCAATGTTGTGGGTGAGCGTGGGATGCCTGGGGACCTTCTATGCATACGAAGGGGTCGTGGTGGTGGGGACAACAACAGGACAGCAGCCCACGCCTCTCCACGCCGCCGTACTGGCAGCCGCCATCTTAAGCCTTTCCCCCTCCTGCATCTTTTCCGCTCCGTTCAAGGCTTTTGGCGCCAAAACCTTCTCCAACGGCGGCTTAGCCATTTCATTAAAGAAAAAAGCAGGCGAAGGGGCGTGGTCTCATTTCTCCCTCCAATCGGCTTCGACGCCTACCGGCGTCGCTTCCTCGCGATCGGAGAAGGCGGGGTTAAGCTGCTTGCGCCTGAAACCAATCACGAAGCTCTTAGGCCCTTTGGCCCAATGGGAGCGAGCGGTGCGAGACAATAGGCGGGTTACTTTTTTTTTTGCCGCGAAAACGTCTGGCGTTCTCTTCGCGCCGAGGGGGCGGAAGTTTGTTTTTCCCGGGAATCGAGTTTGTGGCTGGAGAAGCAGGTGGGTGCCTTCGGGGTTTGCCAGCCCGGGAGGGGGGAGGGGGAAGCGGCTCTCGACTGCTTGTTTGGGTGGGGGGCAAGTAAGTAGCTTTTACCACTGGGATGTCGGGTGCAAGGCCGGGGAAGTGGCCCCTCGCTCCCTAACCGCATTGTCTCCATATCCGGGACCTCTTGTCCTATTGATGGCCTGGTAATGTCAGAATCTGACATTTTGAAAGAACATGCAAAAAAGGAAAAGTGCAACTGACTGTTGCACCTTGGCTTTGTACATGCTCAGATGCATTTTTTATCCTTATGGGCACTCTCCTGTGGTTTGGATTAGGTCAGGGGTCAGCAAACTTTTTCAGCAGGGGGCCGGTCCACTGTCCCTCTTGTGGGGGGCCGGACTATATATTGAAAAAAAATATGAACGAATTCCTATGCCCCACAAATAACCCAGAGATGCATTTTAAATAAAAGGGCACATTCTACTCATGTAAAAACACGCTGATTCCCGGACTGTCCACAGACCGGATTTAGAAGGTGATTGGGCCGGATCTGCCCCCTGGGCCTTAGTTTGCCTACCCATGGATTAGGTCTTAGATGCCAACCAGTACCTGGTCTCTTTTCCCTTTTGTTCCTTTACAGAGCCTTCGTTTTCTGTTACAGGGAATCGTCATGTCTGGTTTTGATGACCCTGGCATCTTCTACAGTGACAGCTTCGGTGGGGACCCAGTAGCTGATGAGGGGCAAGTCCGAAAGTCCCAGCTGCAGAAACGTTTCAAAGAGTTTTTAAGACAGTATCGGGTTGGAACAGACCGGACTGGCTTCACCTTCAAATACAGGTGCTTTCTTCCATTTTTTTGTACCCCTTTAACTTGAAGGCTAAAATGCTGCACAGTATCTACTTATCTCGGAGTAAACCCCCCTTTGAACTTAGTAGGACTTAACTCCTGAGCAGATAAGTGTAGCATTGTGCTTTTAATGTATTGTGCTTTGAATATATTACTGGTTTGGACTTGTATGGCTCTGTTTACTGTATTTATAGGCTGTCCTGTAGCAAAGTTCTCCGGGTCTTATGGCACCTTAATGACTAACAAAAATTAGGGTGGCACAAGCCATCTGACAAATTGTTGCAAGACTCTTGGATTGTTTTCACTGCAAGAGGCTAACATGGCTACTACCCCTTTGCAAAGTTCTCAAGGCAGCTACCAATCAGGGGGGAAAATAAGATTAAATAACAAAAACAAAGGAGCATGAACGCAGTAGAATATTAGTGGGTACTAGGGTGTGAGCTTGTCACTTTTAAGTCCTGCCAAACTAAACTTGTTTTCTCTCCCCCCCCCCCCCAATCTCAAGAGATGAGCTTAAGCGGCATTACAACCTGGGGGAGTACTGGATTGAGGTGGAGATGGAGGACTTGGCAAGCTTTGATGAGGACCTGGCAGACTACCTGTTCAAGCAGCCTGCTGAGCACCTGCAGCTGGTATGTATGGGGCAAGGGTAAGAAGAGCTGGGAGACAGAAATAGTGGGTTGCAGTCAGATGAACATGGACAGCATTGATTTATTATTAGTTATTACATATTGTATCCCACCTTTCCTCCAAAGAGACCAAGGTGGCATGCCTTATTCTCCCCTGCCCTTCTCCATATTATCCTCACAACAACCCTGTGAGGTTGGTTAGGCTGAGAGTTGAGTACTGGCCTGAGGTCACCCAGTGAGTCTCATGGCCAGGTAGGGATTTGAACCCTGGTCCTCAGGTCCTGGTCTAACCACTACACCATGCTGGCTCTCCCCAAGGGGGACCTGAAACAAAATATTGCTGGCCAGTTATGCCCTACTGTGTTCCATTCCCCCCCCCCCTTTCTTTTTGCTCATTCAACCATCACTTAGCATGCTCAGTTCTTCTTTGGTAGTCTTGGGCTTTTTGCCCCTGCCCAATGTACTTCTGCTTAGCATGCTGATACCTCCCTCATATTTCTTAGCAGCTTCATTTCTTTTGACACTTTACCACCTGAGCTTGCTAACAAAGGGAGTGATAGCCATTGGCTTCTGATGTTCTGAGCAGCACCGTTCTTTTTCTCAGCTAGAGGAAGCGGCAAAGGAGGTGGCTGATGAAATAACACGCCCTCGTCCAACGGGAGAGGAGACTCTTCAAGACATTCAAGTCATGCTGAGGTCAGATGCCAATCCAGCCAATATCCGCAGTCTCAAGGTGAGCTGGGTGGATTCACTACGATAGACTGAAGAGGAGAAGCTACAGTAGAGCATTTAAATGTGGAGAAACCCTTTGGAAAAAACACATGGTCTTGCTCGATGCCTCATAGCCAGTCAATAAAAGTGGGTGACAAGCATTAGTTTTGCAAAGCCAAAACCAGTGTGGATCCCCTCTGCATCCATAAGCCTTACTACCAAGGAAATGGTAGTAACCACCTCTTATTTGCTTGACCCAGGAAGTTTGATGGTTCCCTCTCTCTGTGTGGGCAGGGAGACAACAATCCCTAAGTTCACACAGGAAGCTGCCCCTGGAAATTTTCATGCCTATGTCCAAATCTTCCATAATTCTCAGCTTTGAAAATAAAATCTTTTAAAAACCATATTCTGTAGTTGAGTACATTAGGCATGTTGTGTACGTAGATTAAATGTTTTGATTTGCATTCTTGGCTTTATTTCCCCATTTCCCTACCTGCATTTAGAAACGGGAACACTTCGAGTTTTTAAAAACTGATTGTGTTAGGTACAGGGGAAGAGAAATTGGGATTTGTGGATTTATTGCATTTGGCTCTGAACACTTTGGAGTGCAATTTGCAGCTGTTTCCTTTGGAGCTCGTTCACAGCTGTGTTTCCCTCCTGCTTGCTTTGCAGTCGGAGCAGATGTCTCATCTGGTGAAGATCCCAGGAATCATCATTGCTGCAACTGCTGTGAGAGCCAAAGCCACCAGGATCACCATCCAGTGTCGCACATGCCGAAACATCATCCCCAACATTGCCTTGCGCCCTGGCCTGGAAGGATACGCTCTTCCTCGGAAATGCAGCACGTAAGACTGAAAGTCCCTTTCCCAGTGTATCTCTTCTCTTGTTCGTCTGCCCCATCTCACGGGCTAAATCCTCCTGCAGTGCAACCCTGTACACGCCCAGCCAAATTGCATTATTTAGAGCTTGGTCTCAGGACACTGGAATTTAGTGGACCTTACTGCCAAGAAGCCAGGTATGAGTTTTTGCAGTCTTACAGGGCAATCTAAACTTTGCACTACCAAGGCTCTGCAGAGGCACAACCAGGCCACCCACAGCAGATGAAAGGTGGAGGGGACCAGGCAGATCAGCTGTGAGAGCAGCTCAGGATCTAGTGCATTTCAGTCTGGCTCAGCCCCAGAGTGCCCCACTTTAGGGGTTTGCTGGTCGGGATACTGTTAGGCATCGGGCTGAGCCAGGAGATGCAAGCAAAGGGTTGCCTTCACTCAATACATGCATGCCACAGGGGAGGGTTGGATTGCAGCCCCTGTCATTTGTTTTATGGCAGAGTATTGTGTTTGTTTGCTCAGACGTTAATCACATTAAGTTAAATGGATCTTGGTTTGGGTAGGTAGCCGTGTTGGTCTGACGCAGTCGATATAAATAAAATAATGTCCAGTAGCATCTTAAAGACCAACTAAGTTTGTTCTGGGTGTAAGCTTTCATGTGTACATGAAAGCTTATACCCAGAGCAAACTTAATTGGTCTCTTAAGGTGCTACTGGACATTTTTTAATTATTATTTTAAATGGATCTTGTTCTCAAGAAGGCAGCCATAAGACTGCAACCTTAAGTTTTGCTTAAGGTTACCTGCCCTCCTCCTAAGATTTTTGATACCGCCTTCAAGGGAAATGCAATTGTCCCGTGTTCTCAGAAAGGACCTAAGAATTAAACAGAACCAACATGGTGATCAGCAGCTTTTAATTAAGAGCAATTGGCTCACTTGGAGGCTGTGGGCGACTTTGGGGCAGAAGTCCAGGGCCTCCAGATGAAGAATGGAGGTCCAGAGAAGTCCGGGGCCTCCATTACCTTAAATTTTGAAGCTGATGGGAAGATGCACAGCACCCACCCACATCAGTTGGTAATATCAGGCAGCTGAGCCCAGAGCCTAATACTAACCTAATTGTACCACCACAGAAGAGCAAGTAGTGCGTTGGGTCAATCAATTCCTTTTTACTCAGGTGTGGGGAACCTTTGGCCCTCCAGAGACTGCTGAAATGCAATTCCTATAAACTTTCAACAAGCACGACTGGTGGCCAGAGGTGATGGGGGTTCTGGTTCAGCAACATCTGCAAAGGTTCCCCATACCTGCTTTAGCTGACTTACAGACTTTGGTTTACTTTTACTTTTCTCCCAGCAGTGCACAGGTAAAACAATCCTATATCTGTAGTATGTCCTCTGAAGGCTTTCCCTTAACACTTTTGTGAGTGGGGGTCAGGTGAATATATGGTCCCCACATGAAGCTGAGGTCTGTGGGTTCAGCAACCTTCCTTGGGCACAGGAGGTAATCTTGGGGCAAGTTTGGTGTCTCTTGGTTCTATTAATCTGCAAAACAGGGATTTTCATGACGTGCCAGACTACGTGTCTTGGAAGATGACTTAGACAAAGATGATAAAAGCACACCACTCCTTCTAATGGAATCAGCAAAGGAAGAATGGATACATAAACTTATGGAATATGCAGAAATGGCAAAACTCACTGGAAGAATAAGAAATCAAGACAATTATTGAATATTTACAGATGAATTTCGAACAGATAAAAACATTGGCAGGATTGTTGTAATAACCTGCAGTTTATATTTAAAGTAGATAATCAAATGAGCAAATTAAATGAATTTGGACATGCAGAAGATATTTAAAAAATTAAGGAACCACAGAAAGAGGGGAAAGGAAGTCAAACTTTGAAATGTTAAAATGATTGTAGAATTAATAAAATGTATAAATTTGAAAAGTATAAATAAAAACTCTAATGTACAATCTGCTCCCATCTTCCCTGCACCCATTTCCCCCCCCCCTTCCCTCCTCCCCTGTTCAGGGAACAGACAGGCCTAACAAAGTGCCCTTTGGACCCATACTTCATTGTTCCAGACAAGTGCAAATGTGTGGATTTCCAGACCCTGAAGCTCCAGGAGTCGCCAGATGCTGTCCCCCATGGGGAGATGCCCAGGCACATGCAGCTCTACTGCGACAGGTGACAACTTCCATCAGCTGATTTGGACAGGGAACTTTGTTGTTAGAAAGAGGGGTTTATTTCTCGGTGGTGGAACAAACACTTTGAAATCAAGAGTTCTCAGGTTCAACCCCCCAGGCACCTCCAGGTAAAAAGTTCAGATAGCAGGTGATGGGGAAAGAGCCCTATCTGAAAGACTGGAGAGCTGATGGCAATCAGTGTAGGCCAGGGATGGCTAAGCTCTGGCCATCCAGATGTTGGACTACGACTCCCATCAACCCCGACTGTTTCCCATGCTGGCTGGGACTGATGAGAGTTTATATCGAAAGCTGAGCCAGTCATTTTTCTGATAATTCTGCATTGTTTTATGGTATATGATGCTTTTGGGTTTTTTTTGTAAATTTTGCTGTGTATTACCCTGGGATGGTCTATAAATACTTCTAGAAATATTAAATAAACAGTATCTAGTGGGGTGGCAGGTTCCTAATTCCTGGTATAGGCAGTAATCTAGGTCAGGCGTAGGCAAACTCTGACCCTCCAGATGTTTGGGACTACAGCTCCCATCATCCCTAGCTAACAGGACCAGTGGTCAGGAATGATGGGAATTGTAGTCCCAAACATCTGGAGGGCCAGAGTTCACCCGTGGCTGATCTAGGTGGACCAAATTATCTGATGCTGATGTAAGACAGCTGCCTATGCTGAACCTATCATAAGAATGTTTACATCGAACATTTGAGTCGGTTGCAGTGTCCTCTGGCTCTACAAAATTGGATAAAAGAAGGTACCAGTGCTTTGACACCTTCTGTGTACTTTTGGGGTATGGGTTGTTAGATAATGGTGGTTCCTGAAGACATGAGAATGTAAGTGGGCCACAGGAATGGCCCTGTTGATACTTATTTAAAACTGCAATCCTACGCACACTTCTCTGGGAGTAAGTTCCAATGAACTCGCTGGGTCTTACTTCTGAGTAGGCATGAAATAAGACTGCACTATAAAGCTATTTAGCAAATTTGGAAGGAACCCAAAGACTTATTTTCTAGTCCAATTCCCAGCTGGTACACTGGGTCAACCACCCACCAGCTGAATGATGCAGGAACACAACGATTGCCATCTTTCTTAGGTGCATGTGTTGAAAACAGAGCATTCTTGGCTTGTTGTTAACCACTGTGAGCATTCTAAAGATAAAGATGTACAATGGAAAGGCAACATAAAAATACCTGGTAGTAAATAAAATGACAAAATTTTGTCTCCCGGGCCAACTCTGCAATATTTGAGGCATGCGTACTTGGGAAGCTTTTTGTCATTCAAGAGGAAACAAAAGGCAATCTTGTACAGTGGTACCTTGGGTTACATATGCTTCAGGTTACATAGACTTGAGGTTACAGACTCCACTAACCCAGAAATAGTACCTCGGGTTAAGAACTTTGCTTCAGGATGAGAACAGAAATTGTGCTCCGGCGGTGCAGCAGCAGGAGGCCCCATTAGCTAAAGTGGTGCTTCAGGTTAAGAACAGTTTCAGGTTAAGAACGGACCTCCGGAACGAATTAATTACTTAACCCGAGGAACCACTGTAGTTCCACTTTTCTTTCCCTCCTTGCTTATGCTAATTGTTTTTCCAGGTATTTATGTGACAAGGTTGTCCCTGGGAACAGAGTGACCATCATGGGCATCTACTCAATCAAGAAGTCTGGCCTCACGAAGAACAAGGGCCGGGACAATGTTGGCGTGGGCATACGAAGCTCTTACATCCGTGTGGTGGGAATCCAAGTGGACACTGAAGGCTCGGGTAAAGCTGCTTTTTGAGAACTCTGCTCCTTTGTTTCTGGTTCTTAATACTGTCCTGCCTCTTTTGTATTCTTGTGAACTTGAACCACCTGCTCAGGAATGCTTTGATTTGAAGAGCAGTCGTTTGGTGTTGTGGCTGAGAGGCAACATAACCTCACGTTAACCCCAGGCAATTCCTGCCTCACTACTCAAACTTTGGCCCACTGTGCTAATTTCTTAATATGGCACATAGAGGTGCTATCAATTTGATTTGTAAATTCACTATCTGTGGGTATTGAATGCAAATAACTTGATAGAATAAACAGGAGCAGACATGTATATGCCTAATCGAACACATCCATCTGTGGAACTGACACTTTTAAAAGTGCCACATCATGTTCATTCTGCCCTTGTAAGGAATCTGGCTTTTAGTGTGGCAACTCATGCACTTCTGGAACTCCCTGCCGATTGACATTAAGTAGGTATCTTTGCAGTTCTCATTCTGGATCCTGCTAAAATCTTTTTTTGACTAGGCAAGCCTAATCAAATGTGAAGTTACCATGTATTTTAATCTACCTTTTGCTTGCAATGTATACATTTAACTGTGGATTTTATTTATATTTTGACTTTTTAAAAAAAAACCCCACTTCATTTTAGTCTTTGACTTCCATTGATGTTTTTAATGTGTATTTTATATACTTTGTGAACCACTTAGAGGTTTTATTTACAACTAAGCCGTATACAAATGTTGTTAAATAAATAAACCTTCTCCACCCGTATTCTTCTGGGGATGTGTCCTCTCCTTTGTGAAATAGGGATGAAGTTCTTCTAAGTGTACAGAAAGAAATGGTAATGTTTGGGATGGGGAAAATATAAAAAATGGGGGCTACTGTGACATTGCAGTGAATGGTTAAAATAATTAAAATTGAGTGTCTTGAGTGTTTCTGTATTCTCTCCTCTAGGACGTAGTGTCAGTAGTTCTGTGACTCCTCAGGAAGAAGAGGACTTTCGACGACTCACTTCCATGCCCAATATTTACGAGACGATTGCCAAGAGTATTGCTCCCTCCATCTATGGAAGCAGTGATATCAAGAAGGCTATTGCCTGCATGCTCTTTGGAGGCTCTCGGAAGAGGTATTGGCAATTGGCATGAAGGAAGAACAGAACGGGAACACAAAAGAAAGTGTCCTTTCATTTTCCCCCTCCTTCCATGTTGAAGGAGAGCAGCCCATTTAACAGTTGCATTTGTGTCCAGTGTGTGTCATGGCTATTCCTGTCGAGTAGAGTCGAGACATACCAGAAGTATATTAAAATGAAATAAAGGCCATGCTGGCCACATGCCTTCTTCACTGAGGATATCTCTAGTTGACCTGGGCAGTTCCAGGCTCACTTCTCAAAACTTCCACTCGCTAACTTGGGACATAATGCATTAACAAGCCAATCAAATGATAGCATGAGCATCTGTGGCTAATTTAATGCCAATAAGGTGGAATGGAAGAAGCTGCCACTCTTTTCCAATGGCCTTGAAGCTCTTGGCAGGCTGGTTTGAAATACATCAACTCTGTTCCTAATAGCAAACTCGGGTGGTGAATGCTGACAGGTGGAACCAAAATGGGGCTACTAAGAAATGAGCTCACCTTCTCTCCTCCTCTCTCTGGCTTTACTCTACAGGCTTCCAGATGGGTTGACCCGCAGAGGAGATATTAATCTGCTCATGTTGGGAGACCCAGGCACAGCCAAGTCCCAGCTGCTGAAGTTTGTAGAAAGATGTTCACCCATTGGGGTAAGTGTCCTGCATATTGCCTCTTTGGGATTAAAAATAGAAAAATCTGTACTGCTTTATTGCACCAAAAAGAAATAGCCATACAATGCATCAGAACTACCCAACTGAATTCACAAGAATATAACCTATGGATATATAAAAAATGCATTCAAACTGATCTTTGATGGGCATGGATTACTGCTGTCAGTCATCTCTGCTCTATGGTCCTCATTTGAATTGTTGCAATACACTCTATGCAGGCTGCCCTTGAAAACAGAAGCTATAGCAAGTACAGAATATGGCTGCCAGGTTTATTAACTGGGGAAGTTATATGGGATCATGGACCACCTATCTTAATAGTTAAACACCAGCTTCCTGTATGCTACTGGGCTTGATTATCTGCAGAAGAGCCTTCTTGACCTCATAATAGACAATTCAGAAATTTCATTGGCAGTGGGGGCTTTCCCTGCAGTTCCTGCCAGGATTCAGAGTGGGGTGTATATAGAAGGCCCATCTCCATGATAGGGCCTTGACTCAGGATTATCTCCCCCTTTGAGAGGTATCTGTTTCCCACATTATTGGGTTGCACCAGGTTTTCCATAAACTGACTGGGCTGCAGAGTGTATGCATCTGACATGACAAGTATTTTCTCTCTCTCTGTTCCTCTTTCAGGTGTACACCTCTGGGAAAGGCAGCAGTGCAGCTGGCCTGACAGCTTCTGTGATCAGAGACCCATCTTCACGGAGTTTCTTCATGGAAGGAGGAGCCATGGTGCTGGCTGATGGGGGAGTGGTTTGCATTGATGAGTTTGACAAGGTACAAATGGGATGCGCCAGCAAAATTCTGCATTACCGTATGTTCAATGCTTGAAGCAGGTCTCCTAGTACACCAACTTTCTCCAACGTAGAGCCTTCCAGATGCTGTGGATCACATCTCCCATCATCTCTGGCCGTTGAACGTGTTGGCTGGGGCTGATGGGAATTTTAGTCCAAAGCAACCAACAGCTGGTTAGCTTTGGGGATGCCACAAAAAGATGAGGTCAAGACAGTGTATTAATATATATTAAGTAATGCATAATATAAGCAGATGCTAGGAGGCCAACTGGCCCTAAAAATACCCCACCCATTAGGACTGTGGGATCCTGAGGTAAAAGTTTTTCAAAATGTTGATCGTATGCTTCCTAGATTCATTTGTTACATGAAAGGTTTACATTCTGAAGTTTCAAAGTCGGTAGTTTGCCTCCAGCCACTGGTTAATGGATAAATAAAAATATTGTAGTATAGGGAGGGGGAGATGGGATAGCATCTTGCATCAGTTGCCCATGCCTGAAAGAGCAGGAAATAGTGTAGATCAGGCATGGCCAAACTCAGCCCTCCAGCTGTTTTGGGACTACAACTCCCATCATCCCTAGCTAACAGGACCAGTGGTCAGGGATGATGAGAATTGTAGTCCCAAAACAGCTGGAGGGCCAAGTTTGACCATGCCTGGTGTAGACTGTTTGATGCTCTCTTCCATTCCTATGAGAAACCTGACTCTATAATTTTTCTGGATTCTGTTTCTCCTCTCTCCTCCCACCCTCCCCACCCCCCTTTTTTTGTTTCTATAGATGCGTGAGGATGACAGAGTGGCTATCCATGAAGCGATGGAGCAGCAAACCATCTCCATCGCCAAGGTGAGCTCCGTTGCCGAGGCAGCACCAACCGTTTAGGCATGGTGTCCCACCTGCTTGTTTTAAGTATCTTCAGCCTGTGAGTCTTACGCTTAAACTTGGATCTCTTACTGGGCTTTTAAATGGTAAGGACCCAGTGAAGCGGGGTTAATTTCTTCCCACTGGCATGCAAAAGGAAAAAGAGCTGATGAGTTTCCAAAGTGGCTTCAAGCATTAACCTTCACCCTATGGGCCTGGTCTGCATTCAGCACTTGCACGTGGGTTTACGTGCCCATTGATTTTGCATTATTTACTGTCACGCTTCAGATTCCTGCTGATGTGACTTTTTTTTCCTTTTCGCCTCGGTTTCGCTCACACAGGCCGGTATCACGACCACCCTCAACTCACGCTGCTCCGTGTTGGCAGCTGCCAACTCCGTCTTTGGTCGCTGGGATGAAACTAAAGGCGAGGAGAACATAGACTTCATGCCCACCATCCTTTCCCGATTTGACATGATCTTCATTGTCAAGGATGAGCACAATGAGGAAAGAGATATGGTAGGTGGGCTGAGTAGCTCTGTGTACAGGGAAGGCACTGTAGGGCTGCCTGCTGGGGAGACCAACTACCTTGTGATAGCAGAAGGACTGTATCTTCAGACATGACCCTGCTTTTCGTGTATTTGCCATGGCAGAGCACTTCTGGAGGATGGAATAGGCCCTTGACCCCAACAGTGTATGTTTTCTGATCGGCTTGCCCGCATAACATCCTTGATAGGATTTAGCATTTCCCCAGGCTGGGAAGCTGAAATCCAAAGGCCAGTCTGAACAAATCTTGTGCTCCAAGTCCCATATCTGCCCCAGAATGCGGTGCTGCTCGATGAGGCCACACAACCTCTCAGCCTCTGGCATGGGAATATTGTGCAGTCTGCCTGCACAAGATGATTTTATGTGCAAGGCTGCAGAGCACGCTGTAAACTGAGACTGCTTCCTAAAGGATAGATTATAACTGAGGACTAAGGCAGGGCAGAGCCATTGTTAGAGCCTAGCCTGCACTTGTTTAAATGAATTCTTTGCTAGCCATATGTTTCCTGCATGTTGAAAAGACTCCTGTTTGGTGTGCTTCGTGCTTCCAACCCCTCCTGCTCTGCGCTGTATCCACAGATACTGGCCAAGCACGTGATGTCTCTGCATGTGAGTGCTCTGACCCAGACCCAAGCTGTGGAGGGGGAGATTGAGCTGAACAAACTGAAGAAGCTGATCGCCTACTGCCGAGCGTGAGTCAATTGAGAAATTGTAGCACCGTTACTTGGGAAGGATGGCAAGCGCTTCTAAACAAGCTGTATGGTGGGCTGAGACCTAGCTAGTTGTAATGTGCTCCTTTCTTGCTCTTCATGCCCCCTTTAACCAAAAGCAGCCTGAATAGTTGTGAATGTCACAATGCTAAAAAGCCTTGTCCACCTTAGCTTTTAAAAGCTCAGAGTGAATTCTTTTGTTGCTCTAAAGCAAAGGGAGGGGTGCCATTGAACAAATATTGATACCACCACGGTCCCCCATTCCATATACGTACATATATATATACACACACACACACGCACATATATATACACACACACACACACGCACATATATATATATACACACACACACACGCACATATATACACACACACACGCACATATATATACACACACACATATTTTTATTGGTTTTTTAATATATAATTTTCAACAATCATTTAAAGTAACTTCTTATCTTATACAATATTTTAGACCTCCGTCAACCACCTCTGATGATTTTCCGTTCTTTATCGCTTATTCTGCATTTCTTAATTTCTCTATTACTCTTAATTATCATTAACTAATAATTCTCTTCATAGTCTTTCTTGCAATATTTCAAATATTCCTCCTTACAGAACTTCTTGCAGTCCTACTAGTGTAATCTGTTCATTACAATTGCTTTTCAAATAGTTCATATATTTACCACTGTCCCCCATTCCTAACCCTCCCAACATTTTCACTGTCATTCCTCATCACACTGCATTCTGCTGTCAAGGGCCATACCCCACAAACCACAAGGCCAAGTCTTCCAGAACTATGTGAAGGCATATTACTCCAGTATAACCTTTATAACTTGCCATTCAAACTTCAGTTCCTGGAATTTGGGCTTCCGCTTAGCTGTTTTGGGTAGTGCTTCTGAGTTTAATGGCAGTGCTGAGTCATTGGAGATGCTGTGGGGAAAGCTGGATTAGATCTCCAAAAATCTGCTCTCAAAAGTATAAAGCTGTTTCTGGCTCGGGGTTTTTTTTTTTTTTTTTAAATGATATTTATTAAGAGTTTTAGAATTACAGAAAAAACAGAGAAGAAAAAGAAAGAAAGAAAAACAAAAGAAAAACAAACCACAATCAAACAATACAAATTGATAAAAATCAAAATCAAAAAATAAGAACAAAGCACGTAACACAACACAATCAAGAGGCAAAAATAAGCCACAAAAATTTAAAAACAAATCCAATATTCTCAAATCCTTAACTGTCATTACCTTCTTTCTTTGACCTCCTCACTCCTCCCTTTTTTTGTGTCCTAGTTGTTAATAGTCACAGCAAATCCTTTCCATTTTTCATAATATTCTGTCATTACATTACCTTAATCTATTTTAACCTTATCTTACTATAAAAGACCCTAAAACTTAAAACTTAGATCTTATTTATACCAATTTCTCATAACATATTCTTACATAATTCTTTTAACATTTTTGCTAAAGCCAAATAATTTCGTTCCAACATTTTTCTAACATTCATCAATTTTATAAAGCAATCCTAATAAAAAAAAATTTCTTCCAATCTTCATCCAGCGTCTCTTCCTCCTGGTCCCGGGTTTTGTCAGTCCTTTCTGGCTCGGGGTTTGAATGGGATGGAGACTCATCCAGATGGGTGAGACTGGGGAAGATCTGTGGCAGAGCCAGTTGGTAGGGAAGCCTCTGGTAGAATTGTGCGAGTTCAGTGCTCCCTCTGATTTATTAAGCCCTGCAATGTCCTCTGCAGGAAGTGCGGCCCTCGTCTTTCTGCAGAGGCTGCAGAGAAGCTGAAGAACCGCTACATCCTCATGCGCAGCGGAGCCCGCCAGCACGAGAGGGAAAGCGACCGTCGATCCAGCATTCCCATTACGGTCAGGTGAGGTGGCAGCAGGTGTCTGTGAGGGATGGGGAGGAATGTAAAGGACGGTGCCTAGGAGGATGGCCTAGGAGGCCTCTTGTTCTTGGCAGGCTCCCTTGCGTGAGGCCAAGACAGATGCACTGTTGAGACAAGATAGTCAGATCTTTCTCAGGGAAGTTGCGTTGGATGATGGATGTGTATCCTTCTGCTGGCTGCTTGGATCGAGTGGGGGCACAGATGCTGGATGAAGGTTCTCTTCAGGAATCTTGCCTGACTGGTTGGGCTTGGCCTGGGCCATGAAATGGGACTGTGCGCTGTTAAGAAGGGAGACTTGGCTATGTGAGGCTTTGTTCTCTGCCTGGCCTAGTTTTTGCTGCACCTCTCCAGACCTCAAGTGTAGAAAGTGTTTCATGACTGAATGTTCTTGGCAGAGGAATGGGAAACCTGTAGCCTTCCCATACGTTGCTGCATTAACAGCTCCCATAGTCTCTTGACCAGTTGCAATGCAGATCCTCTACAATTAAATAAATAAATCCCTGCACATAGAAATCTGTATCTCAATGGAAAGCATAGGTTTGGGTCCCTTCTTCATTGTCATATACCTGCTTTATTTTCCTACATTGTATAGATGTACATTCTGTGTTGAAGTGCAACATGTCTAGGCTTATGGGCAATTTCTACCTGCTATTAACAATTGCAATTTCTAGCAAGTGTTTCTTCTATTCTCAGCATTTGATTTGAGGTTTTGCCTCCGTACGTTTCCAGTTCCCTTGCTGCGATAACCTTCATTTCTTTCCCCTTCGAGATATATACAGTGGTACCTTGGAAGTCAAATGGAATCCATTCCGGAAGTCTGTTTGACTTCAAAAATGTTTGGAAGCCGCAGAAGTCACATTGGACGTTCGGGTTCCAAAGAACGTTCGCAAACCGGAACCACTCACTTCTGGGTTTGCGGCATTCGGGAGCCAAAACGTTCAATTCGCCAGGTGTTTGGGATCCAAGGTATGACTGTATATGATGTTTCATTTCTGCCATGCAGGCAGCTGGAGGCCATTGTGCGGATTGCAGAGTCCCTCAGCAAGATGAAGCTGCAGCCTTTTGCCACGGATGCAGACGTCGAGGAAGCCCTGCGGCTCTTCCAGGTGTCTACGCTCGATGCTGCCATGTCGGGCAGCCTCTCAGGTGAGACAACAAAACGGCAGCACACTTGCACAACACCCGTGTCCTCTGGAAGTGTTTGGGTATACATAGTCTTGTTGGAAAGATACGAAATGTACTCTTTCCAGTGGAAAAGGCAGTCAATAGCCTGTGCCATTGACTTACAAGGTGCGTTTAGGCCAGGCCACTTTCCCTTTTGGACGGCGTTCCAGAGGCCACAGGCCAGCAGGGTTTCAGGCAGGGGACATTCCCAGCCTTATTCGGAGTTGCTGAGGATTGAACCTGGTATGTTTTGCATGTAGATGCACTATACCCCTAATCCACCCACCCCATTGTACTGTGTTAAATACCGTATTTTTCGCTCTATAGGACGCACTTTTTCATCTTCAAAAATGAAGGGGAAATGTGTGTGCGTCCTATGGAGCGAAGACGCCATAGCCCCGCGACCCTCTCCCGGCTGGAGAGGTGACGCACGGCTATGGCAGGAGCCTCTGTAGCCGCGCATCATCTCTCCAGCCGGGAGAGCACGCACGGGGCTAAAGAAGCACCCCGCAACCCTCTCTCGGCTGGAGAGGTGACGCGCGGCTATGGCGGGAGCCTCTATAGCCGCGCATCATCTCTCCAGCCGGGAGAGCACGCGCGGGGCTAAAGAAGCACCCCGCAACCCTCTCCCGGCTGGAGAGGTGACACGCGGCTATGGCAGGAGCCTCTGTAGCTGCGCATCACCTCTCCAGCTGGGAGAGTGTGCACGGGGCTAAAGAAGCCATAGCCCCGCGACCCTCTCCCGGCTGGAGAGGTGACGCGCGGCTGTGGCAGGAGCCTCTCCGCTGCGCCTTTCCGCTGCTCCCTGACCTGCTCTTTGGGGCTGGTGGTGGGCTTCGCCCCGCCAGCCCCAAAGAGCAGGTCGAAAGGAACCTGAAGCCTGGAGAGCGAGAGGGGTCAGTGCACACCGACCCCTCTCGCTCTCCAGGCTTCCAAGGTAGCCGCCTGAACGCACCTTAAACGGCACCTTGTTTTAGAGTGGGAAAACAAGGGGGGGAAATTTCTCCCCCTCTCTGCGCAGCGCCTCCTGCCGCTTCGCTGAAGGGGGGCTGGGCAGAGAGGGGGAGATTTTTTTTCTTGTTCTCCCCCCTCTAAAACAAAGTGCGTCCTATTGTCCGGTGCGTCCTATGGTGCGAAAAATACGGTAGGTGGTGCAGTGGTGCCCACATATTTTTGCATTTAAGCTTCTGTAAAGAGAACTGCAGGGATGCGGGTGGCGCTGTGGTCTAAACCGCAGAGCCTAGGGCTTGCTGATCAGAAGGTTCGGCAGTTCGAATCCCCACAACGGGGTGAGCTCCTGTTGCTCGGTCCCTGCTCCTGCCAACCTAGCAGTTCGAAAGCACGTCAAAGTGCAAGTAGATAAATAGGTACCACTCCGGCGGGAAGTTAAACGGTGTTTCCGTTCGCTGCTCTGGTTCGCCAGAAGCGGCTTAGTCACGCTGGCCACATGACCCAGAAGCTGTCTGCAGACAAATGCTGGCTCCCTCGGCCTATAGAGTGAAAAGAGCATGCAACCCCAGAGTGGTCCGCGATTGGACCTAACGGTCAGGGGTACCTTTACCTTATCTTGTCTCTAGGCGTGGAGGGTTTCACTACCCAGGAGGACCAAGAGATGCTGTCGCGTATTGAAAAGCAGCTCAAGCGTCGCTTTGCCATTGGCTCCCAAGTCTCCGAACACAGCATCATCCAGGATTTCGTGAAGCAAGTGAGTTCAGTGGGTCAGGCAATTCATGGGAAGCTTGGGAGAGGCTGGCAGAATTTGCCACACATGAGCTGCCAAACACTGATAATCCGTCTCTGTCTGTGGTCCTTCAAAGGCAGTAACATAATTTTTTTAAGAGGCTTACACAAGCCAAGGGTTGCAGTATCATGAGACGCTATCCACCCCTGGTGTGCACTTCAGAAATTTGGCTTTGTTGAGGTTACAAGTTGCGCAGGCTGAGCTAGAGCCCTTGTGGACTACTACTTCCATTGAAGAGAAACATTTGTACTGCTCTTGATGGTTTTACATCACTATACAACTGTCCTGGTATTTTATGAGAGGATATTTATATTCTATAAATAGAAATAAATACACACACCTGATCTCCTTACCCACATTTGTTGAAGAGCAACAGACTGGGGGATATTTATTTTTAAAACAAACACTTCTAGCTGCTTTCACGGTATCTTCATGATGCTGAAAGATCTGAAGTACCTGTTTTCTGAAACAATAACACTTCACACTCAAGGATTTTCTACCTGACCTACCCACCTGCTTGAGGTTTACTATAACCAAGCCTAGAATTGACTCCCTTTTTTTCGTTAACACAAGACATTTAACACACTTGACATAGTTGAGGGCTCTTCACTCGCTCCTGTTACACTCGTACCCTGCTTGTGAGATTGCCAGAGGAATCTGATTGGCCGCTAAGAGAACAAGACGTTGAATTAAATCAGCCTGATCCAAAAGCTTTTCTTAAGTTCTCACCTTGCTTCCGACGCTGCAAGTCATCTCTGAAGCAGGTTAAGAGGGGTCTGTTCACTTTATCTCCATGGGAACAAGCCAACATTTCTGCTTTTGGAAGCCAGAGTTCCCGTATTCCCTAAACAGATTGCAAATGCCATGTATCATTGCCCAGTAAGGAAAGGTTCTGGAAAAGCTGCTATGGCACCCATGGAGGCCATAGGGCAGCTTTTTCATGAGCTGTTCACCCACAGCAAGCCCTGGGGTGAGGTTGAACAGCTGGCCACACTCGCCATTTTGATTTGGCTCTGAGCATGCCATCTTCGGCAGGCTGTTGGGGATAATGCTCTGAAGGACAGACAAGGGATGCAATTCTGCAGCTGAAGTAAAGAAGGGGTAGCCCTGTAAGCTGCCTGCATACGAGACCAACTAGGAAGCGCCTGAAGGGGCTCTGTGCTCTTTTGAAGGAAGGAAGAGGGGGAATAAGGTGTGACTGTTGCCACACGAGGATGTGGCTTCTGTGTGCAAGAGGGCTGTAGAGCTATCGCTGGAGCCCTGCTTCTCGTCATTGAGGATGCAGCCCTGCACATCTACCACTGCCCCATCCAGCTCTGATCCTTCTCTGATCTCTCAAGTTACTTGAGCTGGATGGACCACACTGGGAATGACCATAGACCCATAATACATAAATAGCGCAGAGTGGAAATGAAAAGAAGAAGAAGCATTTGACCTTCTCTGCCTCACCCACCCCACTTTTCCCTTCAAACCCTTCAAACTGTGTTCTTGTTGCATCTCAGAAGCAAAGCTCTGCTAGAGCAGACACTCATCTAGAAACCCTGCATGATAAATTTACCCAGGAGCTGGCTTCTTAACTCACCCAACATCCCCACCTCCAACCCAGTTCAGCAATTGTTTTTCAGCTTGGGTCCAGTCTACCTGCGAGATCTCCTCATTCCATATATGTCCACCTGTACACTTTGACCTATGGAACTGGTGCTGTCACAGGTTCCACTCTCGCCACATTTGTAAGTACAGTGGGACCTTCGTTCTCAAACTTAATCCATTCCGGGAGTCCGTTCGACTCCCAGAGCGGTTCAAAAACCAAGGCACGGCTTCCGATTGGCTATAGGAGCTCCCTGCACTCAAAAGGAAGCCGCATCGGATGTTCAGCTTCTGAAAAACATTTGCAAACTGGAACACTTACTCTTGGGTTTGCAGCATTCGGGAGCCGATTAGTTTGGGAGCCAAGCCGTTCAAGTACCAAGGTACCACTGTAACTGATATTTTAGTGTGGCAGCACTTACACTTTGTAACTCCCTGCCTGCTGACATCAGACAGGTGCCTTCACTGTGTGCTTTTTGGCGCCCACTATAGGTAAGCGTATGCAGACAAGTAGAATATTGACAAGTGGTTTTTAAAAAAATAAAAATCCTACAATTGATTTTAAATAGTTCTTTTTAAAATTTATTTATAATTTCATTGTTTTCTCCTTTGCGTAAACTATTTTGAAGGTGGTGAGTGTTTTAAAGAAACAACCGTGCGGCATATTCATTTTGTAAAAAAAATTAACAGTGGGCCTCACAGACTCTCTTCCTGTTCTCTCGCCTCCTTCCCAGAAATACCCTGAGCATGCCATCTACAAAGTGCTGCAGCTCATGATGCGCCGTGGCGAGATCCAGCATCGCATGCAGCGCAAGGTCCTCTACCGCATCAAGTAGAACGCCACTTCCTTCCGTGAGCTTCAGGAGCGGATTGGCTCTCCCCACACTTGGCACAAAAGTTCTGTGAGTCCCCTCAGGCTGTTTGCTTCCTGTCCCTACCACAAAGGTCCTTCAGAGACTGGCCCATCTATGTCTTGCGGATGGAAACTCTTCGTGGCACAAAGGCTGATAAGAAGAGCTGCTGCTGCTGCTGCTGCTGTTGTTATTTTGTTCCAGCTTTCCCATTAAAGTGTCGCCTTGATGTTTTGCTAGAACATCAAAAGCTTTTTAGCTGCATTAAAACTTAATAAATGAAATATAGTCATGTTTGTTGTGGGCGTGTGAGTATTTGGTGGGCTGCCCGGCATACATGCAAGAGGGTCACCTTCCCAGCTTGTTTCTGCTAGATCCCATTCACACAAGGCCTGGAAGCTTAGTCCAGGAAATTAATACCACAATCTGAAGCGATCCACATTGCATGGTGATCTCAAGTGGGCCTGCATTCAGGTTGCTGAGACGGCTCCGGGAGCGAAGCGTTTGCAGAAAATAAAAATCCTTCCCTTGCGTGTTCATTCCAAGGCATGTTTATGCCACCTGATTCTTGTGCACAGCGGTGACACATCGGTAATTAATTAATTGCCAGTTAGTAACTGAAGTCATTTGTGTGTGTGTCATTCAGTGGTAGAGGCAAGGAAGCAAGCGTGCTGAGGGTTGCAGAGGAGATGCTAGGATAAATCTCCCCCCCCCTTTTTTTTTTTGCAGAAACAGATATAGCAGGTCCAGGGAACCACTGGCCCTCCAGATGTTGTTGAACCACAATTCCCATCAGCACTGGCAAGAATGGCAGTGGAGTGACAGGGATGGTGGGAGTTATCATTTGGCAACATTTGGAGAGCCAACACCTGACACAGGTAAACTTTGGGATCTGTTCCTATGGGATATGGGGGTGGCCACCAACTTTGAAAGGGAGTTAGTTTCATGCAGGGTAAGTCATGATGGCCATTTGCTACCTTTGCCTAGTGGAGGCAAAATGCCTCTGAATACCAGCTGTCTAAGGCACACGGGTAGTGCTGTGGGTTAAACCACAGAGCCTAGGACTTGTTGATCAGAAGGTTGGCGGTTTGAATCCCCACGACAGGGTGAGCTCCCGTTGCTCGGTCCCTGCTTCTGCTCACCTAGCAGTTCTAAAGCACGTAAAAGTGCAAGTAGATAAATAGGTACCGCTCCAGCGGGAAGGTAAACGGCGTTTCCGTGCGCTGCTCTGGTTCGCCAGAAGTGGCTTAGTCATGCTGGCCACATGACCCAGAAGCTGTACGCTGGCTCCCTTGGCCAGTAAAGCGAGATGAGCCCCTCAACCCCAGAGTCGGCCACGACTGGACCTAATGGTCAGGGGTCCCTTTACCTTTACCTTTGCCAGCTGTCTACAGACACCAGGAGGAAAGGGCTATTGCCCTCATGTTCAGTTTCTGGGCTTCTCACATTCCTACACTGCAGGGGGTTGGACTAATGGACCCTTGGGGTCTCTTCCAGCTCTAAGATTCCATGATCTACATCTCATTGGCTGCTGTGGAAAACAGGATGCTGGATTAAATAGGCCTTGGTGATATTTTGCAGGGCACTTAAGAGTTACTTCTAGACGACCATTAATGCCAGAGCAGAGGCAGCAGAGAGTTCAGCCTTATTCTTGCAAGTAGGGAAAGGGTTTAACCAGAAAGGAGCCAAGACACTTGGTCCAGGTAGCAAATGCTCACAGGTGAGTGGGGTGCACACCTGCACAGCTTTCCTGCATGTGCTTATACAATGGTACCTCAGGTTACATATGCTTCAGGTTACAGACTCCGCTAACCCAGAAATAGTACCTCGGGTTAAGAACTTTGCTTCAGGATGAGAACAGAAATCGTGCAGCAGCGGTGCGGCGGCAGCAGGAGACCCCATTAGCTAAAGTGGTGCTTCAGGTTAAGAACATTTTCAGGTTAAGAATGGACCTCCAGAACGAATTAAGTACTTAACCCGAGGTACCACCGTACTCTCTTTTAGGGAAATGTCCGTTTCTGCACATAGTGCTGCCCCCAAAGTGCGAAGGTTCTCTTGTACTTGCTCTGAGGGAATATGTCCTTATTACATTTTTTTTTTGTGCTGTTCGCCCCCCTCCCAGTGTTGCACAAAGGAGCACCTCAATAAGAAATTCACTAAGGTCATCCTAGGAAAATCCTCTACTACCATTAAAGCCAAATAAGAGGACCAACATAACACAGATAGTTAGAAGAGCTGTGCTAAGTTATCCCCTAAACTGCCTTGGCAATAAAGTGACCTCTTTACCTGCCCAGTATATTAACACAAGTAGGTGTTATATGCACAGGGAACGGCTTTACACAAACCACCTTCCTAGTTGGTTAGATTGGGTTGTATACAGTGGCAGGACTGCTCAGAGCAGAGCCTTTAAAATTAATGGGCATAGCTAACTTAGATTCATTCATTTCATTGGGTCTGCTCTGAGTTTAACTCAGTTGCCTATAACACATAGTAAATCTTAAGGGCAATGCCTGCTTTTAACTTTTGGGTTAGTGTACTGTGGTTTGAACTGGACAATGGGTGGCGCTGTGGTCTAAACCACTGAACCTCTTGGGCTTGCCGATCAGAAGGTCTGTGGTTTGAATCCCGTTGCTCTGTCCCAGCTTTTGCCAACCTAGCAGTTCGAAATCACGGCGAGAAGGTAAACCGCATTTCCATGCGCTCTGGTTTCTGTCACAGTTGTCAGTTGCACCAAAAGCTGTTTAGTCATGCTGGCCACATGCCCTGGAAAGCTGTCTGTGGACAAACACCGGCTCCCTTGGCCTGAAAGAGAGATGAGCGCCATAACCCCATAGTCATCTTTGACTAGATTTAACCATCCAGAGGTCCTTTACCTTTTTACCTGTGGTTTGAGGCATTTTAGTAATGGTTATTAATGTTCCAGTGTTGGTAACATTGCTGTTGTGACTTGGGGAAGTTTGACTGTGATTTGGAGACAATGGCAGGAGGTCCATATTACGAACATGTCATTTTCTCAAACTGCCTCCATGCCTTCTAAAAATGACAATAACATGGAGTTTTGGCGACTGAAAGGTTCACTTGAGTGCTACATAGATAATGGTCAGTAGAGGGCACTAGCGATTTGAGAACAAAGTGCAGGGACTCAATGAACCCTTGGTTGAGATGTGTTAAAAGTTGGTTTCCCAAAATTAAAAGGAAGAGACAAAGTGGCTTGTGATTAGAGAGTGACTAAGCCATCAGCTTCTGCTGCCCTCAGCTGGAAGGGCACTACATGAGATCTGCATGCAGATTCATGTCTATTCTTGAACATGTGGCCTCATACTCGTAATAGGCAGATCCATTTAAATGTGACAAGTGGGGGTTCTCCATGACAAGCAATAACTAGCTGCTTTTTCTGGATGAATTTGCTGCAGCACGATCCAGCTTTTGCCAAAAAACAGTTTCTTTTGGCCTGTGTTGCATTGTCAACGAAAGGTGTTGCTAAATCATGTAACGGTTGCAGTTTATGGCAAGTTAATAGGTTTCCCCCACTGAGGTAATGGATTTTGGGTTTCCCCCTCTCATCCGTTTGTTACATTTTAAGTTAGTGTAGTTTTGCATCCTGGTTTAGAAAGCATTGATCTCTTCCCCCCCAAAGCTGCTTATGGGTCCCTAGAGATTGCTGGAACCTTGGCCAGCTAGTCAGGGATGAGTGATGCCATTTTGGCTCTTGGGCTGGAGTCTGGCAAGGCCCTAGACCAGGTGAGAGGAACCTTTGACCCTCTAGATGCTGCTGAGCTACAACGTCCATTGATCCCTGGTTCTTGGCCAGGCTTGCGGAGGCTGATGAAAGTTGTGGTTCAGTGGCATCTGGAGTGTTAAAGGTTCCCCATGCCCAGTGATGAAGCTTCATGTTCCAGCACCGGGGGGGGTGTGGCGGAGAGCAGGTAGGGGGGCTGGTGTGCGTCATGGGGGCGTGGCACGCTGCCTGTGGGGGCGTGGTGCCCAGCACGGGGGGGGGGGCAGCCGCGATGGCACCCCACGGGGATCGCGCTGCCGGGGGCGGTGCGCTCCCCCCGCACTCCTCTTCCTCCGCCACTGCCCACGCCTGCCCTAGGTCAAGTGGCAGTGAGTTCCAGAGCCCATTACAGGGGTGTAAGGACCTCTGAGCTTTCCTTTCAGTTTAGTACCACTGTCAATAACTCAAGACCCTCTGTGTAAAATATAAATGAGTCTCAGAGTGCATTTCTCTCCCACGTCTGCATACTCCTCTTAAATTAAGGGCCAATCTTTGGGATTATTTCCCAGAAGCTAATGGCAGTGCAGCCTGCTGCTAAGTCCTTGCTTTGTTCCCGTTTCCACACTGCTCTCTGGAAGAAACTGTCAAGCAGTCCTGCACTAGCTTTGTACCCTGTTCTCCATTAGCTAGTCTGGTGGATCTGTTTGCTAATTAGCAGCAGAACTGACAACATTGCCCACAGCAGAGAATTGGCAAGCTCTGTGACCTTAGTATGTGCTAGGGACTATTCATCCTCTCAAAAGCCATTGTACGTTTCCACACCCAAATGAAACCCCTGTGGCAAAAATCTAAAAAAAACCTGGGCAGCAGGGAGGCTGGCGACACTCATTAAGAGCACTTTGTCTCCTATTGTCCTAATGCAGCGGTTCTCAATCTTTTTCTTCTGGGCCACACTTTCAGAACAAACATTTGCCACACCAGTTTTTTTTATTGATAAGAAACACATTGGAAAACAAAAAGAAGCAACTCTTAGCGGTCCTTGATTTATAACATGGAACGTGACTACTTTATAATATGATCATGACACATGCAGGAAATATAAAACAATGCAGAATATGAATCATTCCCTAAATATAAAATGGATTGTCCTTGAATATTCCTGCCACACTTGTCATCCTCTCCTGCCACACCTTTGGAGAACCACTGTCCTAATAGTTTTGTCCTGCTGCTAACTTTCAAACAGTACTTCTATGCAGGACGCGCCTTGTGGTGGAATGGTGGATTTGAGGGAAGAAGGGGAATCTTTTATAAAAGGCTCAGTTGCCGCCCTTGCATCAGTATGCATACAGGCATGCACTGTACATGTTTTTTAAAAAACAAAACCACAAAACGATGCCATGTGCTGGAGCGGGAGGGTTTGAGAAGTAACCAGGCTTAAAAGGTAAAGGGACCCGTGACCATTAGGTCCAGTCGCGGACGACTCTGGGGTTGCGGCACTCATCTCACTTTTTTTTACCAAGGGAGCCGGCGTACAGCTTCCGGGTCATGTGGCCAGCATGACTAAGCTGCTTCTGG